ATAAATTTATTTACTTATTAGTAATTTCTATCCAGTGATATACCGATAAATTCAAAAACAAGTCGAATTATTTTGTACGGTTTGGTCACTCGTTATGGTCCGCAATCAGTTGCCAGCGCAAGTTATAACCTCTTGCGCTGAAATGACGTGCCACGCACGTCGAGAATGTTTGGCCCCAAAATTGCAATATTTTCTCAGTTTCCAGTATATTGAAATATAACCCAGGCAACATGAATGATAAATTTATCACTTATTAGTAATTTCTATCCAGTGATATACCGATAAATTCAAAAAGAAATCGAATTATTTTGTACGGTTTGGTCGCTCGTTATGGTCCGCAATCAGTTGCCAGCGCAAGTTATAACCTCTTGCGCTAAAATGACGTGCCACGCACGTCGAGAGTATTTGGCCCAAAATTGCAATGTTTTCTCAGTTTCAAGTATATTGAAATACAACCCAGGCAAAACAAATGATAAATTTATTTACTTATTAGTAATTTCTATCCAGTGATATACCGATAAATTCAAAAACAAGTCGAATTATTTTGTACGGTTTGGTCGCTCGTTATGGTCCGCAATCAGTTGCCAGCGCAAGAGGCCTAAGGAATTTCGAGTTCCCAGAGGTGCAAGAATTCTCAATTGACAATATTTAAAAATGTATGGCATCCGTTTCAATCAAAAGAACAGTTTGACGAGTTTCAGCACACCCATAATTAACAATACGACTATCTCTCTGACAGCCTACTATACTCGGGATATGACCGACTAACCTAACCCTGCATGCACATATGTCACTTCTCGTTCAAAAGCGTGCGCCATATAGCAAGGTAGGCAAGAGAAATTCCCCGCGCCCCTACGGCCTGTGTTGGCATTAAAAAAAAAAAAGAAAGAGAAGAAAAAAGTAGAAAAAATGTAAGAGAGAGAGAGAGAGAGAGAAAGAGAGGAAAGGGGGAAATCCCCTCGATAGCGAGCTTCATCCCCCTCGTCGTCTCTCGAAGTTGCGCGCGTTGTGCACCACCACGCCTTACCCCGCGTATGGCAACCAATTGTAAATCGAGCGACGAACCACCCGGTGCTCGTTCCCATGACAAGTGCGATGGGTATTTTCTCCTCGTGAATCTTTAATTCCACCGTGGGAATCGAAGTTGTACCATCGCGGTGGAGCCTTATGGTTGATCCGCGCGCACCTTGCTAATATGCCGGCTGATTAGGTGGGCCCCGAGAGCGAATCCAGATTCTATCTCGACCCCGGTTCTACGCCACTGTATCGAAAGTCGGAGGATCGATACGCACAAAAGAACTGAACCACAGCGAGATCTCGAGTTCGAACTTGATTTTACCGATCGACGTTACATCAACTGGGAAGAACTGAATAACAAATCATTTTCAACACATCGTCGAAAGTTCACGATAGATAACAGACATAACCCGAAATTATAAAGTTTTGCGTATTTCGTTCAAAACGTAGTTACAGAAATGATGGTCTTGACTTCGTAGAAACGTTTTCAATTCAGTCAGAGGCCGAGAATGTAGACCTAGACCGCGCGATAAAGTGTGTCGTCGAACCTAGAAAGATAAACAAAGACACTGACGAAAAAAGAGAATATCGAAATAAAACGACAGCCACGACGATTAGAGAGAACGTATTCGAAGGCAAGAGGAGAATCATTAGAATTCATCACCGGTTCGAGCGAAAGGCCAGCGTCAGTCTATCATTTGGCCGTCCCCCGGTTGAGAACAATTCGAGAACATATGCTCTGGTGCTTTTGGAAGAGGCTCAATAGAATATAAGAAGGCGTCGCGTCGCCAGACGAGAAGGCGCGCATGTAAAAGCCTTTGCTAGGCTAAAGTCGTTCCAGACTGTGGTCTTTCTTGACTGGAGCAGATGCTGGAAATCAGGCTTGCTCTTGTGTGTATATACCCTTCCGACGATCGACGGCGACGTCGACCCTTGAGCGAGCATACCGAACCCAACATCGGAAATAATGATACGAACGAGAAGAGGAGGACGGGGTATAAGCAGTCAGAGAGACAGACAGGCATAGAGAGAGAGAGAGAGAGGAAGAGAGAAGTCGTTCCTTCTCTTTTGGGAAGACTTCCTCAAGGGGCCCAGGCCGCGGAATCCCGTCGGAAGAACTGGAATCCCTTCGAGAAATTTGTTACTTGACATCTTTCCAGATCTCTTTCTCCCTTTTTTTCCCCCCCTCTTTCATTGTCTTCTATCTTTTTCTCGTTACACTTCTCGTGTCGTTGCTTTACAATATTGTCCGTCCGACGGCTTTAAAAAGAAGCGGCAGCTGCCTAAACGGTTATTTAATTGTCGTCTACAAGAACATTCCTCTCTCTCTCTCTCTCTGTTACGAATTTAAATGACCACCGGCGGAGATTTTATGCATATACATACATACAAGATTACCCTTACGTTGTCGCATGAGTTCTAGGAATTCGTTGCTGGGAAGCCCGCGTTCGCGCCTCGTCTAAAATTAGAGCAATCCGCGGGAATCGTTCGCTTCTAAATTTACTATGCACTCTGATTGCATCAAGGAGTAACCTCACGCGTCGGCGGAAATTATCAACCACACGCGATGGAAGCGAAAAGAAGCTATTAAAAAGAATCTATATCGTTATCTGTTCAAATTTGTCACGGTAATTTTCAATATACCCACCAACACAATTATATCTTTTCGACTCTGTTTACTGACCAACACGTATATATCCTAACTGCTGTAAATACTTTCCTTCATAAATTCAAGGCACTGCTAAGAAACCCAATCACGTGTTTCCTGTCCTATTACGCCTATGCAAGTAGCATCCTGCCTCCAGAGAGAGAATGTCTAACATCACAGGATGAATTTCCGCAAAACGTATCCAAGTCGGTTTTTCCGGACGAATGAGCTGAAAAACGTTTGGTTTATCTCCTACGGAACCGACACGTGGGTTTCGTCTCTTTGGCCAATCTCCCGCTGATCCGAACTGTGCATCCTTCTCATCAGGAACACGTGCATACGAATCTGTATTCCTCCCCCACTTCATCAACAAGCGGCGCGCGCAGCGGATCATGGCGAAGTATAATAATCACGTGCGTCTCGCATCTCGAGATGCGTCATTCTATCGTACAGCTTGTGCGTTTCATCGCCTTCGACGTGACTCTTCCTTTCCCCCGAGATCGCGCCCAAGTGCGAACTCGTCAAAATTCAACGAGCCTTTGTGCCTTATTTCTCCTTTTTTTTTCACCACCTCGACTCTTCCCTTTGTTTTCTTTTCCTTCTTCGAGACGAGAGATCCCGAAACACGATTACCGCGTTTTGGAATCTGATCTGTCAGACATACTCCTTCACTTTCGTAGCTTTTCCATTTCTCTTTCTTCACACTTGGTGAGAGACAAACACTGAATTCAATGTCAATTATTTCACGACGAAGGTGCAGTTAAATTTTATCGTAAGAGTTTAAATAACAGGAATTAATAAATACATTGGTTTGGATACATGGGAGCAAACAATATAAGGAACAAGTATCGAAAGATACGGTCAGGGTTGGCTATTGAGCCAATTTAGAAAATAGTTAATATACCGGTGCCCAGTTAAAAGGACGAAGATGCAAACACGTCCATTGGCAAACGAAATAAACGACAGAAGAATTCGCAACGAGTTTGATCTGGAACCGGGTTTAAATCTCCTTTAACCGAGAACGAGTCGCCTCGGTTGTAAACTTGCGCGCGCGCGCGCGCGCGCGCGCTCATCTCCACGAAAGTAGACCCTGGACCTCCTTCTATTGAGGCTCGGGGCCTTTTTCCCTCTGGCTTCAAGCGATAAACGAGCTTAAAAACGGGGTATATCTCTGCCGGACAACAACGCAAGGGCAGTCGGAGGTTCCAAGGATGCCCATTGCTTTTCCTTTCGACCTGCCTCTACCCCCCGCCCCCCTCCCACCCCGCTTGCGTTTGTCTTCCTGCCGCATTTCCAACCCAATGGGTGACTTTTCAAAAACTCCCATCTCTAACGCATTCGTAATCGCTCGGTAGAAACCGACCAGAGGGAAAGTCTGGCGTGAATTCGGAGAAAAATAATACCAAAATAAACTCGGCTATTTCTCAAAAAGATTTGACATTCGAGACGGCGTTATTTCGAAAGAACGCAAAATGTATAAATGCGAAGAATTGTTGTTACAGTTAATTACAATATACGATAATTAATTAATTATATTCGATTCCTCGATTTCGAAAAATTTTGAGATTAGTCAAACTTTTCTAAAATCGTTGCAACATTCGTTTTAACATTCTACATAGACTTCGTTCGTATTTAAGTAATCAAGTTATTATATATTCTAACTTTATTAAGTTATTATATTCTAGCTTATAATTTTCAGAATTCTCGAATTTGCCTTTAATTACGAATTTTCGTTTTTTTCTCCCACTCGATTGTCCCCGATGCTAATCTTTATAGTCGTGATGAAATGTAAATGTAAACGTTATTTGAAATTACGATTGAGGGGGCAAACACATACATATGTAGAACAGCAATCTAGCTCGAGATAAAGCTGCATCCTTTGATACAGAGACTTCCGTTGTTTCGTTGCGAGATGTTTCAAACGCTTATTGCATTAAAAGATTGGCAATGTAAGTACGTTCTTTCTGATAAGACCAGGCGAATATATTGTGCCTAGTTGCATTGACAGTTTGCGCGAGATAAAGTTGAGAATTTAAATAAGCAGATAACATTGCAATGGATTGCGAAAAATTCGAAATACGTCGTCAAACGACCAGCTGTTAGTTAAGTTTACTGACTGTTGCTAACAGATTAATAAAAAAATGTTTTCAAATAAACCTAACAATAAAAAAATCAACTTTGTGCAAATTTCCTGCCAATGTGTAAAAATCCGATTATCTACTAACCAAGTTACCCTAAGAGACGTTACATTAAAAGAACAAACGCAATCAATTACGTGATCAAGATAGACGTTCATGCAAATTACTGAGAGTAAAACACCACATGTGTTACTTACGCTTCGGTGGGTGGCGGAGAATAAAAAGACGAGTGATAAGTAGCAATATCCACGACCTTCGCTGGCATGAGCAGTCCACTCGACACTACATCCATTTCTCACGGGTAGTCTTCCGAGAAAACTCACGGTCAGGGAGTGCTGAATGGCTTCAGACGGATCCGATCCCAAAAACTCGTGACCGTGCACAGCTTCCCGACCGCACTATATCTTTTTCCTTCCTCTCTCTCCCTCGATATTTTTTGCACTACTTTACACAGTGCCGACAATGCGGATTCCTATCGAAACACTTCGTCAGTCTAGTGGAAAATTTCGATAGAAATATTCAGCCCGATGACGCTGTTTAAACGATTTGCTCGACTCTTAAAGCGAGACGCATGATCGGTCGCATTTTCAACACGTTTGACAGAAACATTTATCTATCAGTCGTTCGCGGCGCGTTACTGTTTACAATGTACGAAACCCAACGTGATTTTTTCGAGACACGCGAAAACATAAGAAGAACGTTGTTATCCCCCTCTGTCTCACTTACTTTTGATCATGATTTCTGTCTCTTTCTCTCTCTCTCCTCTCTCTTGCACTATCTCTTCCCTTTTTTTTTCGTCTCTTACACAGTAACAGTTTATTCTTTCATTTCAGTTTCTTATTGTAGCCACCACCGGTCGCCTTTTACTTTTGATTAAACAGATCTTCGGTTCTGTCAAACCGAATTCAACAAACGAGCGAGAAGAACTGTCGGCAAAGAACGTCCCTCGACCACAGTCTTCAGTTAAATAGAGAACGTTTGGCCGCACGCGTCGCGACAGTGCAATAAACGGTTCTGTCCGAGTGAAACACAACGAGAGGGAAAGAATGTTTTCGTCGAGGCAGCAAGGTCCAGCCGAGAGAGAGAGGAAAACGTGCAACACGCGCAGAGAGGGCGGGAACGATCGTTGGGCTAAAGGTCTTACAAAAAAGAAGAAAAAAAAAAAAAAAAGAAAATGGAAAAAATGAAATTTTATACATAGGATGTTCACTTCA